TATTATTAATTAATAATTTGGATGACCCCTGCTTAATTTTGTAAAGATTCAGAGGGGTTCCATTTCGTTTTCTAATCTTTGTAATTGTTTTGTTAAGATTTATTCTGTTAGTGGCAATGGAGAAAATACAGTTGATTATTTATTATTATTATTATTATTATTATTATTTGAAACACAACAAGATGAGTCCACAGCAAAGAAGATCACTCTGCTGGCTGTTGTATTGGATCACACGTCGGACACTTCCCAAGTGTCTAGGACTGTGTGATGTATCGGCGAATAATGCGTGCAGATCCCAGTAAGGTGGCCTTTTACAGCTGGCAGATGTTAATCTTGTCAACGCCGATTGTGTTTAAGTGCAGGCCAAGGTCTTTAGGCACTGCACCCAGTGTGACGATCACCACTGGGACCACCTTTACTGGCTTGTGCCATTATTATTATTATTATTATTATTATTATTATTATTATTATTATTATTGACACAAAAGCACAGTATGTCACAGCAAATGAGATCTATATGTTGTGATGATGATGATGATGATGATTATTATTATTATTATTAAGTTTATTTATACCCTGCTTTTTCTCTCCACAAAGAGACTCAAAGTGGCTCACATTAAAAGTATTTCAGTATAATTCAAAATCTGCAACTATATAAACAGAATTAAATATAATGGGTATTAATTGCATATCCTTCACATCACCTGATTAAAGATAATCTTTTAGAGGCAGATCTTTATATTCTTTATTGACTCTTTTAGGTATAGATGAAATTACTGGCAAGATGGTAAGAAATAATGGAGACAAACATATCATGTTATAATCTACCATGTGCTAACAGATGCATAATACATGTGCAGCACAGGAACACATTTCAGTGTTGCGTTTGAGACATCGTCTCCACAACATTTACCTTGTAAGCTATAGCCATTGCATTCTCCATAGAAGTGTATGGGATTGGAGTGTCAAGAGTATATATTATTAGTAGGAGGATATATTATTATTTATACTATACTATATTATATTATTTATATTGTATCATAAAAGTATATATTATTATAATTAGTAGAATGTATCATTATATATACTATAATTATAATAATTATATTATTAGTAGTAGTATATTATATATATATAGTATATATACGAGGGGTATTTTTTAAGTAAGGTCCGTTTGAACATAAGTACACAACAAAAGTTTATTTCAAAAAAGTAAATTTATTTTCAGAAAGTACATACTTCACTCTATTTTTCGACATAGTTGCCAAGTTTGTTCAAACACTTATCATACCTCTGAACCAATTTCAAAATACCCTCTTCATAAAAACTTGCCGCCTGCTCAGATAACCAAGAGTTCACTGTAATCAAAGAAGGGCGACCGGAGCGGTCCTCATCATGGACGTTGTCATGGCCATCTTTGAATTGTCGTACCCACTTACGCAGTTTGCTTTCACTCATAACAGTATCACCGTACACTTCACAAATCTGTTGAATTTCTGCAGCAGGCAGGTTCCTTGCTGACAAAAACCGAATCACTGAGCGAACCTCACATGCGGCGGGTGAGTTGATAGTCTTAAACATTTTTAAAGCACAGAACAGAACCGTACAGGTTAGCTACAGAGCGGAAATTGAGCACAGTTGTTCCCGAGGCATGCCGGTACACGACGCACGTGCTTGTTGCGGTATGCGCGCGAACTACTAGTGTCTACAACAAAACGGACCTTACTTAAAAAATACCCCTCATATATAAATGGGAGCCTCCGGTGGCGCAGTGGGTTAAAGTGCTGAGCTGCTGAGATTGTTGACCAAAAGGTTGCAGGTTCGAATCCGGGGAGTGGCGTGAGCTTCCGTTGTCAGCCCCAGCTATATATACATACTATATTATTTTATATCTATATATATATAAATGCTCTGTGCATAATGAGTTCCTTAAAAACAAAAGAACGAATGAACGAAATCACACCAAATTTGGCAACAAAACGTCTCACTACACAAGGAGTGACCATCACTCAAAAAATTATGAATTTGTCATTTGGGAGTTGTAGTTGCTGGGATTTATAGTTCAAAGAGCATTCTGAACTCCACCAATGATGGAATTTAACCAAACTTGGCACACAGGACTCCCCTGACCAACAGAAAATACTAGAAGGGTTTGGTGGGCATTGACCCTGGGTTTTGGAGTTGTAGTTCACTTACATCTAGAGAGCACTGTGGACTCAAACAATGATGGATCTGGACCAAACTTGGCATGAATACTCAATATGCCCAAACATAAACACAGATAGAGCTTGATATTTGGGAGTTGTAGTTCACCTACAATCAAAGAGCATTCTGAACCCCACCAACGTTGGAATTTAACCAAACTTGGCGCACAGTTCTCCCATGACCAACAGAAAATACTGGAAGGGTTTGGTGGGCAGTGTCCTTTGGTTTTGGAGTTGTAGTTCACCAACATCCAGAGATCACTGTGGACTCAAACAATTATGGATCTGGACCAAACTTTACATGAATACTCAATATGCCCAAATGTGAACACTGGTGGAGTTTGGGGAAAATAGAATCTTGACATTTGGGAGTGGTAGTTGCTGGGATTTATAGTTCACCTACAATCACAGAGCATTCTGAACTCCACCAACGATAGAATTGGGCCAAACCTCCCACACAGAACCCCCATGTGGGCCACAGCAACGCGTGGCAGGGGACAGCTAGTATACTATATTATATGAGGATATAATACAAGAGGATATATTAGTAACGTAAAGGTAAAGGTTGTCCCCTTTAACCTATATATATATATATATATATATATATATATATACTATATTATATTATTTTATATATATTATATGAGGATATATTATTAGTAGTATATTATTATATATACCATAATTATAATAATTATATATATATATATACACTATATTCTATTATTTTATATATACTATATTATATGAGGATATAATATTAGAGGAAATATTAGTAAGGTAAAGGTAAAGGTAAAGGTTGTCCCCTGATATTAAGTCCAGTCGTGTCCGATTCTGGGGGTTGGTGCTCATCTCCATTTCTAAATCGAAGAGCCGGCACTGTCCTTAGACACCTCCAAGGTCATGTGGCCAGCATGACTGCATACAGCGCCGTAGTAGTATATATATATTATTATGTATACTATATTATCTTATATCAGTATATATTATTATTAGTACATATTATAATATATACTATAATTGTAATAATTATATACTCATATATCTTATATGAGTATATATTATCATTAGATTATATATTATTAAGAAAATTATTATTAAATATACTATATTAAGTATATCATTATTATAATAATTGTTAAGAAAACAGATCATTTTCACCCCTTTGGAACCAGATGAGCAAATGGCTTTGAAAACCCTGTCATGTGTAGATGGGACCACAGCCGCTTGATGTCTTAGCATAGTGGGGGTTTGTTAGAATGGTCTGTGGATGAGAAATACTTTGCATTTTGGAGACAGAAAATTACATTTGAGGAACAGGCGTCTTCCATGGGGCTGAGCCCTGGCAGGGACCAAGACAACATCCCATTGTGTGACCACTGAATCCCGCAAACCACAAGGTGTGGCTGACAGATTGACAATTTGTCCTGTCACTCGAAAGGTCATTCTCAGACTCCAAAAGGTGACACCCTCATTTCTTTAGTGAAAAGGGTTTTGCATAGCCCTTCTAGCCTTAAACACAAGAAGAAGGAGAAGGAGAAGAAGGTGGTAGGTACTGTCTCCAGTCTCTATGCCTGGCCCCATCTAAGGCTTGATCTACAAGTGGCATGTATCCCATGATCCCAGATTATCTTCTTATTCCAGATTATCTGGCAGTGTAGTCTCATATAATGCAATTCAAAGCAGATAATCTGGCATCAGATCCTGAGTTATTGGGCAGTGCAGATCCAGCCCCCAACTCCATCTCCACCTGTCTCTGTCTCTATCTCTTCCTCTTCTCTATCACTATCACTTCCTCTTCTCTATCTCACTCTATCTCTTTTTCTTCTCCCCCCCTTCTCTATCTCTATCTCTCTCTCTTCCTCCTCTCTATCTCTGTCTCTATCTCTATCTCTTTCTCTTCTTTGTCTCTAGCTCTGTCTTCCTCTATCTCTTCTCTATCTTTATCTCTGTCTCCCTCTCCTCTTCCCCCCTCTCTCTCTCTGTCTCTATCTCTTCCTCCTCTCTCTCTCTTCTTTATCTCTATCTCTATCAATCTCTTCCTCTTCTCTATCTCTGTTTCTTCCTCTTCTCTGTCCTATCACTATCTTTATCTCTATCTCTAGTTCTTCTCTCTCTATCTATTGCTATCTCTTCTCTCTCCCCCCCTCTCTTCCTCTTCTCTGTCTCTATATCTCTATCTCTTCCCCCCCTTTCTCTATCTCTTCCTCTTCTCTATCACTGTCTCTATCTTTATCTTTATCTCTATCATTTCCTCTTCTCTACCTCTACCTCTACCTCCTCTCTCTCTATCACTTCCTCTTCTTTACCTCTACCCCTATCTATCTCTTTTTCTTTTCTATCTCTACCTCTACCTCTGCCTCTACCTCTATCTCTATCTATCTCTATATCTCTTCCTCTTCTCTATCTATATATTTATCATCTCGATCTATCATCTGTCTATCTATTTAGCTAGCTAGCTTTGCTTCTCTGTTGTGCTTTTTGAGGCAGAGGGTGGACTTCTGGAGAGACAGATCAGCCACTTTAATTGCCTGCAACAGCCTCTTTTCTTCACCATTTAGTCTTGCAAATTATTTTTCTTCTTCCCCATCTCCATCATTTCAATATTAAAAATTAATAGGACAAGCGAAGACTATTTTGGTGCTCCATTAGGTTACCTCTCTCCCAGCTGAAGTCCCCTTCTCCCATGAAACTCCATTGTGGGTGCATCTGCACTCTCAAATTAATGCAGTTTGACACCACTTTAACTTCAACGGCTCAGTGCTATGGACTCTCCATAGCACTGAGCAATAGAACAGCTTTAATTTCTTTGTTTTGTCTTTCTAGGATAAATAGGTTCCGTCATGCGAAGGGAAGCCTTTGCAATAATGCTGCATCTGCTCAGCTTCTTTCTTATAATCGGTGAGTATAGTTTTGAATTGCCGGATCATTGGGTGGGTCTACACTGTGGAACGAATGCAGTTTGGCACCACTTTAACTGCTGTGGCTCAATGCTATGGAATCCTGAGATTTGGTAACCCTTTGGCAGAGAAGGCCAAGGACCTTGCAAAACTACAACTCCCAGGATTATATAGCATTGAACCACGATTATTAAAGTGGAGCCAAACTGCATTAATTTGACAATGTAGATGCACCCTAGGACTTGTGATAGGGATCCTGCTTTAAACTCTTCTTTCTTTTCTGACATGGTGTCCTTTTGCCTTGCAGGCTGGACAACGGCCACCTTTTCTAGTCCTGAGCTGGAATTCCCAGTAAGAATTGTATATTTAGTGTGTGTGTGTGTGTGTGTGTGTGTGTGTATAATTATGAGAGTCACCCTGTGCTATATTATTATGATTTCAATGGAAGAAAAGGAATAATACATGAGCTGCTTTTCTTTCATCTTCTAGGCTGCTGTGTTTCCCAATGAAGTCAAGGAAACCTCTGATTTTGACAGGTACAGCCTATTATTATTATTATTATTATTATTATTATTATTATTATTATTATTATGGCCCACTTCAGGTGGATCTGGATTCAGTTTAGCGCCACTTGAATGGCCAAGGTTCAGTGCTATGGAATCCTGGGAGTTGTGTTGTAATGTGGCCAAAAAAGGCCGAAGGCCTTGCAAAACTACAACTCCCAGGGCTTCATAGCATTAAGCCGTCGCAGTCAAAGCTGTGTCAAACTGGAAGAAGAGAGCTCTTACACTGCAGAATGATTGTTTGATGTCTATAGTTCAATGCTATGGGACCATAGGTGTTGTAGTTGAGGCACCAGCACTCTTTGGAAGGCTTGAAAACCTTGCAAAACTACAAATCCCAGGATCCCATAGCAGTTAAAGTGGAGTCAAACTGAAGTCATTCTATATAGTATCGATTCATCTTTCAAGCAGAGTTTTCCAAAGCCGTTCATAGGTGTGTTAGATTAAAAGGAACCCCCAAAGAGCATATAATCCAACCTCCTTCGTCCAAACAGGAAGACACAGTCAAAACCCTCACAACAGATGGTCATCCCACCATCATCCTATGAGAGTTTTAGTCTCCTTCTCTGGAGTTTTGAAGTAAATGCTGGATTGCCATCTGTCAAGAGGACTTTGATGGTGTCTTCCTTTATGGCAGAAGGGGGTCGGACTGTCTATCTATCTATCTATCTATCTATCTATCTATCTATCTATCTATCTATCTATCTCTATCTATCTATCTATCTATCTATCTATCTATCTATCTATCTATCATCTATTTATCATCTACATATCTATCTACCTATCTTTCTTTCTTTCTTTCTTTCTTTCTTTCTTTCTTTCTTTCTTTCTTTCTACCATCTATCCATCTATCATCTATCTTTCTATCATCTATCTATCTATCTTCTATCTATCTACACTTTCTCTTTCTCTCAATCATATCATCTGTTGACGATGATGTTTGTGAGGAACCCCAAGAAGCAGCTATAGAGTGAACTGTTCAAGAATCAGCTGTAGCACGTAAGAGAAATTTCCAACACTGGTTTAAACAGTAAATGTTATATGAAACTATATAATCGGATTTATTATAGGCAAGGATCCAGTTTAACTTCCTCCTCTTCATTCTTGCAAAGCCCTTCCCTCTTTTTTCCTTGTTTTCCTAAATTTGGTTGTCCATCTTTGGCTTTTCAGCCTGTCTCCTTCCATCCTCCGTGACTTTCCTTGTGCAACACTGGCCCAGTTGGATGACATAAGAGTCCAGCAATTTGCCCGGGCTTTGAAGCGGAAGGACGTTCGGCTGAGAAGAGACCAGGTGCCTTTACCTTTCTTTTGGGTCTTAAGCAGAAGCTGGATGGCCATCTGTCGGGAGGGATTGGATTGTGTCTTCCTGCCTAGCAGAATGGGGTTGGAGTGGATAGCCCTTGGGGATCTCATTCAACTCTAAGATTCTATGATTCCATCATTGGAAGGTTTCTGAAAAGAGGTTGATGGCCATCTGTTGGGAGGGATCCGATTGTGTATTCCTTCCTGGCCGAAACAGGTTGGACTGGATGACATGTGGATATCTCTTTGAACTCTGTTATTCTATGGTGATCACAGGCAGATTTTCCAATACTACAAATCCCAGAGGAAGCAAAGGGTCCTGGGAGTTGTAGTTCGTCTCTGCTTGAACCGCCATGACTCAATGCAATGGGGTCCTGGAAGTTGTAGTTTAGCTCCACTTGAACTGCTTTGACTCAATGCAATGGGGACCTGGGAGTTGTAGTTTGGCCCCATTTGGACTTCCATGACTCATCAATGTAATGGGGTCCTGGGAGTTGTAATTTAGCCCCACTTGAACTGCTTTGACTCAATCATATCATCTGTTGACGATATGTTGACAACTTGAACTTCCATGACTTAATGCTATAGAATTCTGGGACTTGTAGTTTTACAAGGTCTTCAGCCTTCTCTGCCAAAGAGGGCTGCTTGCCTCACTGAACTACAACTCCCAGGATTTCCTTCTTTGCTTTTCCAGCTGAGCTGCCTTGCCGAGAGGTTGACGCTCGATGGGATCCTCAAGGATTTCGACGAATTCCCGAAGGACTTGATTCTTTTTGTAAGGTAAATGTGGGCTTTATTTAAGTGGCTCCAAGGAACCGTTCTGCGACCTTATGAACTACAACTTCCAGCTTGTACCAAGGAATCCTTCTTTCTGGTATATGGCTTTTAACGTTGTAATTTATGGCAGTCTCAAAGGAAGCCATTTTTCAATGGGGACAGAGCAATGGTGGGAAAAAAGTTTTTCAGACTTTGCAATGGAGACCACAAGTGAACTTAATGCAGGGAGGATGCCTGGGAACCTGTTCATTGTTATTATTATTAGTATTATTTCCTTGTTGTGTGACTTCTGTCATTCCGACTGTTATAACGTCCCTTTTTCTTGGCAGCTGCAAAGAGCTGAAAAAATAAACATAGTGCAAAACAACAAAGGCATACAATGAAGCACTTCAGAACGAGAGAAAACACAGGGATTGAAATATATGCCCTTAGTTCAAAAAGTCTGCATCGTTCCCATATATCTTTTTTAAAATTTTGGTGATTCTTGTTCATCAGTGAGATCTATCAGGCACTAATAATAATAATAATAATAATAATAATAATAATAACAACAACAATAACAGTAATAATAACAACAAATAATAACAATAATAATGGTCCCAGTGGTGATCGGCACACTGGGTGCAGTGCCTAAAGACTTTGGCCTGCACTTAAATACAATCAGTACTGACAAAATTATCATCTGTCAGCTGCAAAAGGCCACCCTACTGGGATCTGCGCGCATTATTCGCAGATACATCACACATTCCTCGACACTTGGGAAGTGTCCGATGTGTGATCCAATACAACAGCCAGCAGAATGATCTTGTTTGCTGTGGATGCATCTTGTTGTGTTTCAAATTATAATAAGAATAGTAGTGTAAGATGTATTGTTGAAGGCTTTCATGGCCAGAATCACTGGTTGTTGTGAGTTTTCTGTGCTGTATGGCCATGTTCCAGAAGCATTCTCTCCTGACATTTCACCTGCATTTATGGCAGCAATCCATTTCAACAGGAAAGGAAGAAACCATGAAAATGAACAAAATCTGGCTACCAGTATTTAAAAATTATAAAATCACAACAGTAAATAAAGAACAACACTCAAAAAAAGGGGAATTCCAGGCAAGAAACAATCAGGGCCAGCTAATCATCTCCCAACAAAAGATTCCTCCATGCAGTAAGAAGCCACACCTTGAAACTTCTATGCCATTAAATGCTAATCAAGGTGGCCAATTGCAGCATTCACACCTACCTCAAACAGACAAGAGTTCTTTCTACCATCCTGGACATTATTCCACAGATATATAAATCCTGTTTTACTAGTTTCCCTCAGGCCTCACAACCTCTGAGGATGCTTGCCATAGATGCAGATGAAACGTCAGGAGAGAATGCTGAACATGGCCATACAGCCCAGAAAAGTCACAACAACTCAATAGTGTAAGAATTCAGGTGAATTCTAATGGCAGTCTTAGGAATGAGAGAACTCCATGGTTGCCTTGAAAATGCAAAATAAATGCAATTTCACCCCATTTTAAGCACCGTGGAGAATGTATGGAATAACAACAACAACAACAACAACAAAACAACAACATGTAAGAATTGAAATGCATTCCTTTTTCAAATTTGTCTAATGACAATCTTAGGAATGAGAGACCTCTAATATGTAGAATAAATACAGTTTGACTCCATTTCAATCACCGTGATTCAATGTATAAATTGTTGTTGTTGTTGAATGCACTTAAATTCTTGCATCATCATCATGATAATCATATAACAATAATGATAATAGATTAGCTGCCTCATCTCATGACTCAGGGCACAACATAGTAGTAGTAGTAGTAGTAGTAGTAGTAGTAATAATAATAATAATAATAATATGGTAAGAATTCAGGTGTATTCCTTATTTGCTCTTCCTAACTTTGTCTAATCATTTTAAGAATGAGAATTCCAAGGCTGCCTTGAAAATGTAGAATAAATGTAGTTTGATCCTATTTTCATCACTGTGGATCAATGCAAATAATAATAATAATAATAATAATAATAATAATAATAATAATAATAATAGACAAAGAGTGAATACCACAAAACACAATCCAGAGCAGAAGAGAAACTGGCAAAAGAAGGTACTCCATAGACAGTTTCTGGCAAAAATTGAGAGCCAAATTGACAAAGAAAAAACATGGCTGTGGCTCACAAATGGAACTGTGAAAAAGGAGATGGAGGGCCTGATTCTGGCAGCCCAAGAACAAGCAATTCGAACCAATGCCATCAAAGCCACAACTGAAAAGTCAACGACAGTTCCCAAATTTAGACTCTGCAAGGAAGCAGATGAAACAATAGATCACATCCTGAGCTGCTGCAAGAAGATCGTGCAGACAGACTACAAGCAGAGGCACAACACCGTTGCTCAGATAATTCATTGGAACTTGTGCCACAAATACCATCTGCCTGCGACAAAGAACTGGTGGGATCACAAGCCAGAAAAAGTTACAGGGAATGAACACGCCAAACTCCTCTGGGACGTTTTGTCTTTTCAAAACCGAAGTCAACAAGGTGTCCTCCCAAGTGAGAAAATCCAGACAGAAAGGGAAAAAAGCAAGAGGATCAGAGATGGCAAAAAGCAAAGTAAATGCCATGTTTTCTTGTTGCCTGAACCACAGGCAAATTGGTTAGTTAAGAAAGATAATAATAATAATAATAATAATAATAATAATAATAATAATAATAATGCTTTCGACAAAGAACTGGTGGGATCACAAACTGGAAAAAGTTACAGAAAATGAACACGTCAAACTACTCTGGGACTTCTGAATTCAGACAGAGTTTTGGAGCACAATACTCCTGACCTCACAATCATGTTAAAAAACAAAGTATGGATTGTTGATGTTGCAATCCCAGGCGACAGCAGGATTGAAGAGAAACAACTGGAAAAACTGACACGATATGAGGATTTAAAGATTGAACTGCAAAGACTGGGGAACAAGCCAGTCAAGGTGGTCCCAGTGGTGATCGGCACACTGGATGCAGTGCCTAAATACCTGGTCTGCACTTAAACACAATTGGCGCTGACAAAATTACCATCTGCCAGGTGCAGAAGGCCACCTTACTGGGATCTGCACACATTATTTGCCGATACATCACACAGTCCTAGACACTTGGGAATTGTCCGACGTGTGATTCAATAAAATAGCCAGCAGAGTGATCATGTTTGCTGTGAACTCATCTTCTTGTGTTTCAAAGGAGGAGGAGGAGGAGGTATAAATTCAAGTGCATTCCTTTCTTGTTTTTTGTTCCCAGCTTTGTCTAATGACAATTTCAGGAATGAGAGAAGTATGTCTATCTCTAAAATGCAGAATAAATGCAGTTTGACTCTATTTTTCATCACCATGGCTCAGTGCATAGATGATCATCATCATCGTTATTATGAATATGCTTGAATTCTTACATCATCATCATCATTATTAATGTAAGGATTCAAAAGCATTCCTTGTTTGTTCTTCCCAACAACTCCAAGGCTGCCTTGAAAATACAGAATAAATGCATTTCGATCCTATTTTCATCACTGCGGATCAATGCATAGAATAAACAACAGCAGCAACAACAACAACAACAACAACAATGTAGAAATTCAAGAGCATTCCTTGTTTGTTCTTCTTAACTTTGCCTAATGACAGTCTCAGGAATGAGATGGCTCTAACTCTGGTTCCGAAATGCAGAATAAATGCAGTTTGACCCCAGTTTTACTGCAATGGTTCAATGCTAGAAAATTATGGAGGTTGTAGTTTGGCAAGGCCTTCTCTTTGGCCTCTTGCAGAACTACAACTCCCACTTGCAGTTTTTCTCTTGTCCTTATCCAAAATGCTCAGGACCAGAAGCATTTTGAGATTTATTTTGGACAATCCTTTCATCTTCCAGCAAAAGGAGGAGCAGCCAGTTGGAGGCTGGGAGGCTGGAGAATAATTTTTTTCCCTGCTTTTAGTCCTTTAGATTACGCTGGAAGCTGTGAAGAGCACATCAGCCGCATTGGGAAAGCCAACCTGGAATTGCTGGAGAAAGGTTCTCCGGAAAGAACACGGCTGCTTTCTGAGGGTTTGTCTTGCCTGGTGAGTAAAGACAGATTCCGTTGCTCCTGAAATTTGCAGTGAAATGTGGTGAAAACCAATCGGTTATTTCATTGACTTGCTACATTCAGATGCTCGCATCCATTGACAAACACAATCTTTTCTTCCATATAATGCAATCTGTTTTTGAAAAATATTCCTTTAGAAGATCAGCGGTGTCCAAGTAACCAAGGAAGAGGCTGAAGTTTTGGGAGGCCTTGTTTGTGACCTCGGTGCGGATTATATTGTGGCCTCTGGCATAAATTTGCTAAAAGAGTTGAATCGATGCCCCTCCTTTACTCTGGATCAAATCAAAGCCATCCGAGACGTCCTTCGAAAAGGAGACGCCCCATTAGGGTAAGTGTTTCCCTCCTGGTTTTGGAGTTTGAAATGCATCCCGAGATTTCCTAGTTCTGTGGGCTTTCTTATTCTTATTATTGTTAGATTTGATTTAACCATGGGTTCCCTCTTTTCCTCTCAGGCCTCCTTCCGAGTGGTCCTCTTCCACCTTAAATGAGCTGACGGGCTTGATCCGTACATTTGATCCCAACATCCTGCAAATGATCCCAAAGGTAAGTTATCTACCTATATTTACTATAATGTTTATATACATCAGTGGTTCCCAACCTTGTTTTGGCCAGGGACCACTTGACCAAGGACCACTCTCCAACATTAACACCAAAAGGGTCACGAAATAGTTTTTGGTCAACTTTAGATTCGGTTTGGTTATTTGTGGTGTTGATTCAGAAAATTGTATTGGATAGACCACATCAGCTCTAGTTTCTGATACAGAACACCTGTCATCCAGTAGGCGCCATCTGCTCACCCACAGAAAACCATATTTAATAAGCCTTGATAATACAATTCACAAATCAAGTCTTTGTGATATTGTAGCATGACTCCAGCAAAGGATCACCGCCTTGTCGGGGCGCTGGAGCTTGAGCACCTCAATGATGTCATGAGCGAAACCGTGAAGGGACCCCCAAGACGGGACGGTTGTGGCAGAGAGGTCAGACCAAGCGTGATCCCTGGGGAAGGCAATGGCAAACCACTCCAGTATCCTTGCCAAGAAAACTAAATGGGCCAGTACAACCAGAGATATGTCGGTATGCCATTGGAAGATGGGACTCCCAGGTCGGAAGATGGCCAAAATGCTACTGGGGAGGAGCAGAGGATAAGTTCAACTAGCCCCAGATGTGATGACGCAGCTAGCTCAAAGCCGAAAGGAAGGCTAGCGGCCGACGGTACTGGAGGTGAACGACGAATCCGATGCTCTAAAGCTCAACACACCATAGGAACCTGGAATGTAAGATCTATGAGCCAGGGCAAATTGGATGTTGTTATTGGTGAGATGTCAAGACTAAAGATAGACATTCTGGGGGTCAGCGAACTGAAATGGACTGGAATGGGCCACTTCACATCAGATGACCACCAGATCTACTACTGCAGACAAGAGGAACATCGAAGAAATGGAGTAGCCTTCATAATTAATAAGAAATTCGCTAAAGCAGTGCTTGGATACAACCCAAAAAATGACAGAATGATCTCAATTCGAGTGCAAGGAAAGCCTTTCAACATTACAGTGATCCAAATATACGCCCCAACCACAGCTGCTGAAGAAGCAGAAGTAGATCAGTTCTATGAGGATCTGCAGGACCTACTGGATAATACACCAAAAAGAGACATTATTTTCATTACAGGAGACTGGAATGCCAAGGTGGGAAGTCAAATGACAACGGGATCACAGGCAAGCATGGTCTGGGAGAACAAAATGAAGCGGGACGCAGGCTGATAGAATTTTGCCAGGAAAACTCGCTGTGTATAACAAACACTCTCTTCCAACAACCTAAAAGACGGCTTTACACATGGACTTCACCAGATGGTCAGCACCGAAATCAGATTGACTACATCCTTTGCAGCCAAAGGTGGCGGACATCCATCCAGTCGGTGAAAACAAGACCTGGGGCTGACTGCAGCTCAGATCACGAACTTCTTATTGCTCAATTTAGAATAAAACTAAAGAGATCAGGGAAAATACACAGACCAGTTAGATATGATCTCACTAACATTCCTAGCGAATATACAGTGGAAGTGAAGAACAGATTTGAAGGACTAGATTTAGTAAACAGAGTTCCAGAAGAACTATGGACAGAAGTCCGAGACATTGTTCAGGAGGTGGCAACAAAGTACGTCCCAAAGAAAAAGAAAACCAAGAAGGCAAAATGGTTGTCTGCTGAGACACTGGAAGTAGCCCAAGAAAGGAGGAAAGCAAAAGGAAACAGGGATAAGGGGAGATATGCCCAGTTAAATGCGCAATTCCAGAGGTTAGCCAGAAGAGATAAGGAACTATTTTTAATCAAGCAATGCATGGAAGTGGAAGAAGACAACAGAATAGGAAGGACAAGAGACCTCTTCCAGAAAATTAGAAACATTGGAGGTAAATTTCAGGCAAAAATTGGTATGATGGCAGGGACCTAACAGAAGCTGAAGAGATCAAGAGAAGGTGGCGAGACTATACAGAAGACCTGTATAGGAAGGATAATAATATTGAGGATAGTTTTGACGGTGTGGTGAATGAATTAGAACCAGACATCCTGAGGAGTGAGGTTGAATGGGCCTTAAGAAGCATTGCTAACAACAAGGCAGCAGGAGACGACGGGATCCCAGCTGAACTGTTTAAAATCTTAAAAGATGATGCTGTCAAGGTGATGCATGCCATTTGCCAGCAAATATGGAAAACACAAGAATGGCCATCAAACTGGAAAAAATCAACTTATATCCCCATACCAAAAAAGGGAAATGCGAAAGACTGCTCCAACTTCCGTACAGTGGCCCTTATTTCTCATGCCAGTAAGGTAATGCTCAAGATCCTGCAAGGAAGACTCCAGCAATACATGGAGCGAGAGTTGCCAGATGTTCAAGCTGGGTTTAGAAAAGGCAGAGGAAGGAGAGACCAGATTGCCAATATCCGCTGGATAATGGAGAAAGGCAGGGAGTTTCAGAAAAACATCTATTTTTGCTTCATTGACTATTCTAAAGCCTTTGACTGTGTGGATCATAATAAATTGTGGCAAGTTCTTGGTGGGATGGGCATCCCAAGCCACCTTGTCTCTCTCCTGAGGAATCTGGACAAGGACCAAGTAGCAACAGTCAGAACTGACCACGGAACAACAGACTGGTTCAAGATTGGGAAAGGCGTACGGCAAGGCTGCATCCTCTCACCCAACCTTTTTAACTTGTATGCAGAACACATCATGCGATGTGCGGGGCTTGAGGAATGCAAAGCTGGGGTGAAAATTGCTGGAAGAAACATTAACAACCTCAGATATGCAGATGACACCACTCTGATGGCCGAAAGCGAGGAGGAGCAGAGGAGCCTTCTAATCAAGGTGAAAGAAGAAAGCGCAAAAGCCGGGTTGCAGCTCAACATCAAAAAAAACCAAGATTATGGCAACAAGAATGATTGACAACTGGAAAATAGAGGGAGAAATTGTGGAGGCCGTGACAGACTTTGTATTTCTAGGCGCAAAGATTACTGCAGATGCAGACTGTGGCCAGGAAATCAGAAGACGCTTACTTCTTGGGAGGAGAGCAATGTCCAGTCTCGATAAAATCGTAAAGAGTAGAGACATTACACTGGCAACAAAGATCCGCCTAGTCAAAGCCATGGTATTCCCTGTAGTCACCTACGGATGTGAGAGCTGGACCTTAGGGAAGGCTGAGCGAAGGAAGATAGATGCTTTTGAACTGTGGTGTTGGAGGAAAGTTCTGAGAGTGCCTTGGACTGCGAGAAGATCCAACCAGTCCATCCTCCAGGAAATAAAGCCCGACTGCTCATTGGAGGGACGGATACTAGAGACAAAGTTGAAGTACTTTGGCCACATCATGAGCAGACAGCAAAGCCTAGAGAAGACAATTATGCTGGGGAAGGTGGAAGGTAAAAGGTAAGGCAAGATGGATGGATGGCATCCTTGAAGTGACTGGACTGACCTTGAAGGAGCTGGGGGTGGTGACGGCCGACAGGGAGCTCTGGCGTGGGCTGGTCCATGAGGTCACGAAGAGTCGGAGACGACTGAACGAATGAACAAAAACAACACTGTAAGAGAGTTTTGTGAGACCAGTCGCTCTCGTAATAGTGTAGTAGTGAGGCCACAGACCATATTTTAGTTCTTGCAGACCACTGGTAGTTCACGGACCATAGGTTGAAAAGCACTAATATACACTGAACTGTCAGAAAGAAAAGATGTCTCTGTCTCAGCAGTCCATGAGGACAATTTGGGAGCATTTTTGCAAAGGAGCAGAGAAAGGGGAAGACAAAGAAGAAGAGGAGGGTGAAAAAGAGAAAGAGGAGGCAGCAGAAGAGGAAGAGGAAGAAGAGGAAGGGGAAGAAGAGGAAGAAGAATAGGAGGAGAAAAAGAGGAGGGGGAGAAAGAAGATGAAGAAGAGGAAGAGAAGGAGGAGAAAAGTATAGAGGAAGAGGAGGAGAAGGAGAAAGAGGAAGAAGATAAAGAAGATGGAAAGGAAGAAGAAGAGAAGGAGGAAGAAGATGAAAAGGAAGAAAAGAAGGAAGATGAAGAAGAAGCGGTGAAGGAGGAAGAGGAAGAAGAGGAAAAGGAAAAGGAAGAGAGGAAGAGAAAGAGGAAAAGGAAGAACACTAGGAGGAGAAAGAAGATGAAGAAGATGAGAGGAAGAAGTGGAAGAAGAAGGCAGGACTCCAGTCTCTTTTTAGTCCGAATGATGGAGAATTTATTTTTGCTATTTGGCATTTGTACCTAAGGCCCCTTCTACATTGCCATATAATCCAGATTATCAAAGAAGATAATCTGGATTTTATATGGCAGTATAGATGGGGTCCAAAACTACAGTTTTCAGCCATCCAAATCATTGAGCCATGGCAGTCAAAGTGGTGTCAAACTGCATTAACCGTACAGGGAAGATGCACCCCTAGACTAAAGAAAGTCTTGGGTACATTGAGTTCAGTCTGTTGAGAATTGCAGAGAGTTTATTCATCCTTAAACCTTTCATTATATGGATTTTTTCTGCCTTTTGTAGGACGTTTTAATCCCATGGCTGAAACAGTATGCAGAGCGTTTTCACATGCCACGAAAACAGCTTCAGTCTTTGGTCCAGGTGTTTTGGTCCAAGCTCCAATCATCCAGGCAGAAACGTGACACAGGTGTGTTAACAATACAATAAAGTGGTTTGAACAGTGATGCCGTTATTCAAAAGTCCTCCCAATAACCAGATCTCAGGGAAAGGGTTTCTAGACTATCCCAAATCCCTTCCAATAATCAGATCTCAGTGGAAGGAATTTGATACTATCCCTAAAGCTCCTCCAATAATTATATCTGAGTGGAAGAAATTCTATATTATCCAAAATCCCTCCCAATAATATCCCAGTGGAAGAAGTTCTAGACTATCCAAAATGCATTCCAATTAGATCTCAATAGAAATTCAGGACTATTCAAAAATCCCTTTCAATAATTAAATCTAGACTATGCAAAATCATTTCCTATAATCAGATCTCAGTGGAAAAAGTGGAAGGAGTTCCAATCTATCCAAAAAGCCGTTCCAATAATCATTATTCCCGTGGAAGGAGTTATAAACTATACACAAATCCTTTCCAATAATCATATCTCATTGAAAGGAGTACTAGACAATCCCCAAAGCCCCTCCAATAATTATATCTCGGTGGAAAAAGTTTTAGACAATCCCAAAACCCCTTACAATAACCAGCTCTCAATGGAAGGAGTTCTAGACTATCTGAATGCCTTCCAATAATTGGATCTAGACTATCCATATCCTTTCCAATAATTGGATATCAATAGAAGAAATTAAAGACTATCCCAAACTCCCCTTAATAATTATATATCCGTGGAAGGGGTTCTAGGGTATCCAAGAAAGCTCAATAATTAGATCTCAATGAAAAGGGGTTCTAGACTACCCCAAAGGCCCTTCTAATAATTAAATTTCAGTGGGAGGAGTTCTAGACTATCTGAAAGGCCCTTCCAATGGTTATATTTTAGTGGAAAGAGTTATAGGCTATCCAACAGGCACTTCCAATAATTATATATCAGTTGAAAGGGTTCTAGACTATCCAAAAAAGCCCTTCTAAAATTATAACTCAGTGGAAGTGTTTCTAGACTATCCAAAAGACCCCTCCAATAATTATATCTCAGTGGAAGGAGTTCTAGACACAATCCAAAAGGCCCTTCCAATAATTATAAATCAATGGAAGGAGTTCTAGACTATCCCAAACACATCTCCAATCACTATATCTTAGTGGAAGGAGTCCCATACTATCCAAAAGGCCCTTCCAATAATCATATCTCAATGGAAGGATTTCTAGGTTACTAGTTTGCATAGACAGGCCTGCAGGGACCAAACAGATAGGTTTTGGAGTTCTCCTTAGCATTGGGACCAAGCATGAACAGATACACAATGACATGCAAAGGTTAATGTGTATCTGTGACCATCTTTTGGACCTGGTAGTGCTTCAATCGGATCCAAGGCCAAGGTTGCTCCCTGCCTTATTTGTTCCTAATAGTGGGTTGGATTTGAAAGGTCTCAAGTTGGTTTTTCTTTCAGGAGAATGCCCACCAGACCAAACTATAACCGATGAGATGCTGAAGGACGAGTTACTGCCGATTTGGTATTCGCCAGAGGATTTAAAAGCATGTCTGAAAGGCCAAAGGCTGGTGGAGAGTCTCCCAACAATCTCGTCCTATGCTTTCACTTATGACCAACTGCTGGCATTGAAACAGAATCTGGACCAGGTAATAATTACTTCCTTGGCTCAGAAGGACAGGGTTTCATTGGTGTCGTTCTGTGCTTTTTAGTTGTTTCTAACTTGGTTAAAAACTGGGTGAATAAGATACCAGTGATCATTTTGTGCCATGTTCCTTTAAGATGAATTGTCATGCATGCACAGAATAAATGCAGACGTGTTGAGCTGAGAATGGCAAATGTGTGCATAGCAGTGGTCGGCTGCACTCTGGAGTGGTATATGAAACAATGGCAACACAACGTTGATGTTAGTGTAACACCACAAGCAGATATTTACACAACAGGAGGGTAAATATCTGTGGTGTCGTAGAGTTGGAAGGGACCCCCAAAGGGCACCCAGTCCAACCTCTTTCTGCCATAAAGGAAGACATAACGTTGATCTAGTCCAACCTCCTGCCATGCAGGAAAAGCACAATCAAAGCACCCCTGACAGATGGCCATCCAGCCATAACAAATGCTTGTTTGCTTTTGTGGTTTCTTTCTGCAGGAGTTTCCAAATGGATATCCCTCCAGCCTTCTCCCCAACATGGGATTCTTGATGCCTGTCACAAATGAAGAAGATATTAAAAAATGGAACTACACTTCACCCGAAACACTCAATTCTTTGTTGAGCGTCTTACCTGAAGATGACATGGTAATTTAGAACTGGTTTGTTTGGGTTTTTTCCCCCCCTCCCCAATCTGGCTATCTCCTTGGGTGCATCTACACTGTGGAATTAATGTAGTTTGAGGCCACTTTGCACATCATGACTCAATGCTAATTGTAGCTGTAATTTGGCGAGATAGCAAGCACGCTTGGGTAGGGAAGGTTTGTAAAAACTACAACTCCCAATGCTGCCATAGCATTGAGCCATTGCAGTTCAAGTGGAGTCAAACTACATTAATTCTATAGTGTAGTCATTCTTTGTTTTATAGGATGTCTATATCGTCGTGACAATATAAAGATCTCTACAGTAGTAACCAGAGAGATAAAGCAGGGAAATAATAATAATAATAATAATAATAATAATAATAATAATAAAAAAATGGAGAATTTGCTCCTGGTTTTAGTGAGAACTTTAAGAGAATGGCCTTGTGGGGTCTAGTTGGGAGAGAAGAAGATCTCACATTTAAATATTGATCCGTTTGGGGTTTCAAATGCTTTTCTTTCAGGCCAAGTTGCTCATTGAGCGGTACGTCGATTCCGGAGGTCCAATGAACGGCACGGCTTTGGATGCCATAGGAACAAGATATGCGTGCCTCCTGACTCAGGAACAGCTCAATCGGATAGACGAAAACGCCCTCAAGTGAGTATCAATTAGGTCAAAATGGGCTTGCAAAAAAAGGATTTAGCAAATCTGGGCTCCAAACGCATACTCGCAGTAGGCTTTTGGGACCCCAAATTCAAAGAAACGTTGGCTACCCTTGATTCATACATTACCATTGCATGAGGAAAGCCATAATCCCAAGAGTTATTTATTGTTACAGAGTTTATTTCATTCCTCATGGTTGCTATGAAGCCAGGAACCAAACTTGCAAATTTTGGGATCTATATGCACTATAGGTGTGCCGTCACACCCAGACACTATAAAGTTAAAACTAAGATGTGCTTCTCTCTTTATCTGGGTGAACCGTGGGTGCCTTTCTTAGAAGCTCAAGATTCTCAGCAACTGAGGCCAATCCAGATTTGAACATCAACAGAACATTTATTTTTCAAAGTTCTTGACAGACTTGGCACAGCTTGATGAAGTTACAAACAGAAACAGTCAATTTGGGAAAGCATATAGATCTTCTTTCTTTCCTTTTTCCTTCAATTACCGAGTTAACTTTTCCCCAATGGTAGAAAAATCCTGGGATCTTTTACCCTAACCCTGAGCTGTTATCTTTCGGAAAGAGCAGGTCTTCCCCTATCTAAGCTCAAGATTAGTTTTGGAGATGAAGTAATGGAGCCTCTCTCAATGGCAGAGAAATCCTGAGATATTCCCTGCCCCAGCACTGAGCTACTGTCCTTTAGAAAGAGCAGGTCTTTCTCTATCTGAGCTCAGCACCAGTTTCAAAGGCGAGAGGGTAACCTTAACCGTACTCACAATGGCTTGTCCGAGCTGCCTAGCTTGGCCACCAGCACATCTGAGGCTTTTTCTATACTAAAGAAGGCAGGAGAGCTTTTCCAAAATGGAGATCTCATCCCCAGGAAAAAGGGCGGTCTCTAGACCAAAAGGATACTTTTTAAACCAATAGCTGCAAAAGGCTTGCAGGCTGGCTTCCAGACTCTGTTAATGTTTGATTATTAGGGTGCTGCTAAGACTGTAGCAACCCTGGGGGAAATACAAAGGGATGCTATTTCAAGCAACTAAGGGTCAATGCAAACCAAGCTCCCGGAAGACGGAACAATAGGGCTATTATGTATATAGAAATCCTGGGAGTTGAATCTTTGCAAAGCACTTAGACTTTTATGTCAACGTATGCCAGGGCCTCAGCAAACTACAAGTCCCAGGATTCCATTGCATTGTGCCATGACAGCTAAAATGCTGCATTCATTCTGTAATGAGTAGATGCATCATTGATTCAACTACTGCATGGAAAATAAATACAAGTGATTCAATAGACTTAACTCTAGTCATAACCAATAGCTGGGGGAGTTGGACTCTGATCACATTTCTTTTTGCTTGTTGTTTTTAAGTTTTGTATTGTGTTTCCTTTTGACAGGACGGCTACTCAGTTTAACCCTTCCAAATGTTCCCAACCCATTTTGGAGAACCTCTATCCGAAAGCCAAGCGAGCCTTTTCCGACCGACACAACGAATTTCCCGCTTATTATAAATTCATTCAGCCGTACCTGGGTGAGGCCAAGCTAAAATAAAACAAAACAATAATATAATATAATTATATAATAATATAAAATAATAAAATAGAACAGAATAATAAAATAAATAATATAATAATTATTATATTATTTATAATATAAATAATATAATAAAATATAATGAATAAAATAAAATAATAAAGTAATAGAATAGAATAAAATAGTTGTTGTTGTTCATTCGTTCAGTCGTCTCCGACTCTTCGTGACCTCATGGACCAGCCTACGCCAGAGCTCCCTGTCGGCCGTTACCACCCCCAGCTCCCTCAAGGTCAGTCCAGTCACTTCAAGGATGCCATCCATCCATCTTGCCCTTGGTCGGCCCCTCTTCCTTTTGCCTTCCACTTTCCCCAGCATAATTGTCTTCTCTAGGCTTTCCTGTCTCCTCATGATGTGGCCAAAGTACTTCAACTTTGTCTCTAGTATCTTTCCCTCCTATGAGCAGTCGGGCTTTATTTCCTGGAGGATGGACTGGTTGGATCTTCTCGCAGTCCAAGGCACTCTCAGAACTTTCCTCCAACACCACAGCTCAAAAGCATCGATCTTCCTTCGCTCAGCCTTCCCTAAGGTCCAGCTCTCACATCCGTAGGTTACTACAGGGAATACCATGGCTTTGACAAGGCGGATCTTTGTTGCCAGTCTGATGTCTCTACTCTTCACTATTTTATCGAGACTGGACATTGCTCTCCTCCCAAGAAGTAAGCGTCTTCTGATTTCCTGGCTACAGTCTGCATCTGCAGTAATCTTTGCACCCTAGAAATACAAAGTCTGTCACGGCCTCCACGGTTTCTCCTTCTATTTTCCAGTTGTCAATCATTCTTGTTGCCATAATCTTGGTTTTTTTGACGTTTAGCTGCAACCCGGCTTTTGCGCTTTCTTCTTTCACCTTGATTAGAAGGCTCCTCAGCTCCTCCTCGCTTTCGGCCACCAGAGTGGTGTCATCTGCATATCTGAGGTTGTTAATGTTTCTTCCAGCAATTTTCACCCAGCTTTGCATTCCTCAAGCCCCGCACATCCTCGCATGATGTGTTCTGCATACAAGTTAAAAAAGGTTGGGTGAGAGTATGCAGCCTTGCCGTACGCCTTTCCCAATCTTGAACCAGTCTCCTGTTCCGTGGTCAGTTCTGACTGTTGCTACTTGGTCCTTGTACAGATTCCTCAGGAGAGAGACAAGGTGGCTTGGGATGCCGATCCCACCAAGAACTTGCCACAGTTTATTATGATCCACACAGTCAAAGGCTTTATTTAGAATAGTCAATGAAGCAGAAATAGATGTTTTTCTGAAACTCCCTGCCTTTCTCCATTATCCAGCGGATATTGGCAATCTGGTCTCTCGTTCCTCTGCCTTTTCTAAACCCAGCTTGAACATCTGTCAACTCTCGCTCCATGTATTGCTGGAGTCTTCCTTGCAGGATCTTGAGCATTACCTTACTGGCATGAGAAATAAGGGCCACTGTACGGAAGTTTGAGCAGTCTTTCGCATTTCCCTTTTTTGGTATGGGGATATAAGTTGATTTTTTCCAGTCTGATGGCCATTCTTGTGTTTTCCATATTTGCTGGCATATGGCATGCATCACCTTGACAGCATCATCTTTTAAGATTTTAAACAGTTCAGCTGGGATCCCGTCGTCTCCTGCTGCCTTGTTGTTAGCAATGCTTCTTAAGGCCCATTCAACTTCACTCCTCAGGATGTCTGGTTCTAATTCATTCACCACACCGTCATAACTATCCTCAATATTATTATCCTTCCTATACAGATCTTCTGTATAGTCTCGCCACCTTCTCTTGATCTCTTCAGCTTCTGTTAGGTCCCTGCCATCTTTGTTTCTTATCATACCAATTTTTGCCTGAAATTTACCTCCAATGTTTCTAATTTTCTGGAAGAGGTCTCTTGTCCTTCCTATTCTGTTGTCTTCTTCCACTTCCATGCATTGCTTGTTTAAAAATAGTTCCTTATCTCTTCTGGCTAACCTCTGGAATTGCGCATTTAACTGGGCATATCTCCCCTTATCCCTGTTTCCTTTTGCTTTCCTCCTTTCTTGGGCTACTTCCAGTGTCTCAGCAGACAACCATTTTGCCTTCTTGGTTTTCTTTTTCTTTGGGACGTACTTTGTTGCTGCCTCCTGAACAATGTCTCGGACTTCTGTCCATAGTTCTTCTGGGACTCTGTTTACTAAATCTAGTCCTTCAAATCTGTTCTTCACTTCTACTGTATATTCGCTAGGAATGTTAGTGAGATCATATCTAACTGGTCTGTGTATTTTCCCTGATCTCTTTAGTTTTATTCTAAATTTGGCAATAAGAAGTTCGTGATCTGAGCTACAGTCAGCCCCAGGTCTTGTTTTCACCGACTGGATGGATGTCCGCCACCTTTGGCTGCAAAGGATGTAGTCAATCTGATTTCGGTGTTGACCATTTATTTATTTTATTGGAAGAGAGTGTTCGTTATACACAGCGAGTTTTCCTGGCAAAATTCTATCAGCCTGCGTCCCGCTTCATTTTGTTCTCCGAGACCATGCTTGCCTGTGATCCCAGTTGTCATTTGACTTCCCACCTTGGCATTCCAGTCTCCTGTAATGAAAATAATGTCTCTTTTTGGTGTATTATCCAGTAGGTCCTGCAGAGCCTCATAGAACTGATCTACTTCTGCTTCTTCAGCAGCTGTGGTTGGGGCGTATATTTGGATCACTGTAATGTTGAAAGGCTTTCCTTGCACTCGAATTGAGATCATTCTGTCATTTTTTGGGTTGTATCCAAGCACCGCTTTAGCGAATTTCTTATTAATTATGAAGGCTACTCCATTTCTTCGATGTTCCTCTTGTCCGCAGTAGTAGATCTGGTGGTCATCTGATGTGAAGTGGCCCATTCCAGTCCACTTCAGTTCGCTGACCCCCAGAATGTCTATCTTTAGTCTTGACATCTCACCAATAACAACATCCAATTTGCCCTGGCTCATAGATCTTACATTCCAGGTTCCTATGGTGTGTTGATCTTTAGAGCATCGGATTCGTTGTTCGCCTCCAGTACCGTCGGCCGCTAGCCTTCCTTTCGGCTTTGAGCTAGCTGCGTCATCACATCTGGGGCTAGTTGAACTTATCCTCTGCTCCTCCCCAGTAGCATTTTGGCCATCTTCCGACCTGGGAGTCCCATCTTCCAGTGGCATACCGACATATCTCTGGTTGTACTGGTCCATTTAGTTTTCTTGGCAAGGATACTGGAGTGGTTTGCCATTGCCTTCCCCAGGGATCACGCTTGGTCTGACCTCCCTGCCACAACCGTCCCATCTTGGGTGGCCCTTCACGGTTTCGCTCATGACATCATTGAGGTGCTCAAGCTCCAGCGCCCCGACAAGGCGGTGATCCTTTGCTGGAGATAAAATAGTAGAATAATAAAATAATAAAGCAATAAAACATTAAAATAAATTAATAAATTAATACAAAATAATAATAATAATAATAATAATAATAATAATAATAAATGAAATCTAAAGTAAATGGAAAAGCACAGCTGGAATTCAGCTGATGTGTGATACTTTCCAGAAAAGCAATTTGAAATCTAGCCTCCTTGCCTCGCAAAGCATAACAAGGACACCCATTTGGAAATCACTCAGTGTATAGTCTTTACAGTAAATAAATTACAATAAACACAATATATTTCCGAAGTTTTACTCTAGTTTAGAATAATATTTGGCTGTATCTAGCCAATTTGCTTGTGTTGCAATCTTGTAGCTTAATCAGGATGCGAGCCATTGTATCCCAGTCTTGGGAGAAAGGAGGGATGGAATGACAAATAAGAAGAGCCTTTTCATTCATCTCTTTCACTACAGGAGGAGCACCCGCTGAAGACCTCAGGGCACTGAGCAAAAATAATGTCAACATGGACATCGAGACATTCGAGAGACTGAAAAAAGAATCTGTTTTGGTAAGTGAAGGCCACTCTGATGGCAACTGAGGGTGAATGGGAGACAGCGTGGGCAACTAAGGTTCAGTGATGGAGAGAGACAGCAAAATAGGGCCAGTCGGAGCAAGTGAGGGCCATTGAAGTTGAGTGGGGGCCACTGATGGTGAGTGAAGGCCATTGGTGGTGAGTAGGGACCATTGAAGTTGAATGAAGGCCACTGATAATGAGTGAAGGCCTATGAAGTTGAGTGAGGGGTATAGATGGTGAGTGGGGGCCACTGATGGTGATTGAAGGCCACTGATTGTGAATGGGGGCCACTGAAGTAGAGTGAAGGTCACTGATAATGAGTGAAGGCCTATGAAGTTGAGTGAGGGGTATTGATGGTGAGTGAAGGCCACTGATAGTGAGTGGGGGCAACTGAAGTCGAGTGAAGGCTACTGATAATGAGTGAGGGCGTGCAAAGTAGAGTAAGGGGCATTGATGGCGAGTGAAGGCCACCGATAATGAGTGGGGGCCACTGATGGTGATTGAAGGCCACTAATGGTGAGTGGGGGCCATTGAAGTTGAGTGAAGGCCTCTGATAATGAGTGAAGGCCTATGAAGTTGAGTGACGGGTATTGATGATGAGTGAAGGACACTGATAGTGAGTGGAGGCAACTGAAGTAGAGTGAAGGCCACTGATGATGAGTGAGGGCCTGCAAAGTAGAGTGAGGAGCATTGATGAAGAGTGAAGGCCACTGATAATGAGTGGGGGCCACTAATGGTGATTGAAGGCCTGGAAGGTTGAGTGAGGGACACTGAAGTTGAATAAAGGCCACTGATAATGAGTGGGAGCATTGAAGGTGAATGAAGGCCACTTATAGTGAATGAAGGCCTGTGAAGTTGAGTGAGGACCACTGATGGTGAGTAAAGACCAGTGAGAGCAACTGAGGGCCAGAGATGTTGAGTGAGAGCAATTGCTGGTGAGTGAGGGCTGTTGATGGTGAGTGAAGGCTAGTGAGAGCAACTGAGGGCCACTGATGTTGAGTAAGAGCAATTGCTGTTGGTGAGAACTAGTGAGAGCAAATGAGTGCCATTGATGGTGAGTGAGGTTCCTTGAGGGTGAGTAAGTGCACCTGGGGGGAAATGCTGGCTCCTCCAATGCAATCCTAGGAAATGCCTCCCCCAGACATTGACCCTACAGTCATCCCGGAGGACCTAGAAAATCCCTAGAGTGAGAACACTTAATCCAGCCTGGTCCATGCCAACATGCCAGAGAGGTTTACACCCACAGGGTGGAGACGATCCACATGTTGCACTCTTTCCCAACAGCCTTTAACTGTCAAAGATGTCAGAGCCTTGCTAGGAACCAACCTGAAACAACTCCCAGATCACAAAGACAACCCGACCATCAGGGCCTGGATCCACAATCAGAAGCAGTCTGACCTGGACAGCCTTGCGATCGCACTCTCAGGCGGCCTTCCCAATGGGTACATTAATATTCCCCGTCTCTCTCGGCGCAAGAAGCGGGAGATTTAAAACCCAAGGCAGAAGAGACCAGAAGGCAAAGAAAACTCCAGAACAAAGGTCCAACACCCTGTAAGGATGGCCCCAATTAATCTTCTCTTGTCCCCATTTCTCTCCTCCTTTCTTTCATTGCTGCAAATCAGTTAAAAGTGCAAAAAATAGTTTAACTTTGCAAGAGGGAGAGGATCAGAGGGCAGAATTTCTCCCTTCCCAGTTGGCTCAGGCAAAAGCAAAACACTGCAGGCCTCTCCTTGCTTCCTTCCTTCCTTTTCCTATCTTAATGACACTCTGATGTCACTTGGCCACATGGGCCCCACAGTGTGTCTACATTATAGAATTAATGCAGTTTGACTCCACTTTAACCTGCCCAGCTCAATGCAATGCATCCCCATTCAATAATCCACTATTTAAAAAGAACGAGGGGCTGACTGTGCTCCGGAAGGGGATGATAGACCTCATCAACCAGAAATTGGGACGTTTCCCTGCTGCATTGTTATCCAGCAATAAAAGCTTCTGATACAACCTTAATGTTGTCTCATTTTCTGCACCCAAAGAGCCCTTGGAGATAGTTTTGGCAGAAGACGCAGGCAGTTATATATTTTGTTGTCTGTTTGTTTATTGAATCTATATCTTGCCTATTTGGAGTGAAAATTCAATACATCAAAACAATATGAATCATAGAATCATAGAGTTGGAAGAGACCTTATGGGCCATCCAGTTCAACCCCAGCAAGGCTTTGATGAATTATGTAACACTATTCTTGTTCCTGGGTCATAAATGTTTTTGTGCCACGAAAGCCAAGTTTCTGAAGTATCACACCTACTTTCAAAGTAAACACTGCACAATTAAACAGGAAAAAACACTTTCATATCAGGAACAGACCATTTTTCAAATTTTGTTACATAGTGTTATGAAAGTAAAGCAGCACAGAACACATATATCCATAGACCTCTTTGCACATCATTGTACAACAGCACAGTATTTTCTGTTGGTCATGGGGGTTCTGTGTGGGAATTTTGGCCCAATTCTATCGTTGGTGGGTTTCAGAATGCTCTTTGATTGTAGGTGAACTATAAATCCCAGCAACTACAACTCCCAAATGTCAAGGTCTATTTTCCCCCAAACTCCACCAGTGTTCACATTTGGGAATATTGAGTATTTGTGCCAAGTTTGGTCCAGATCCATCATTGTTTGAGTCCACAAGTGCTCTCTGGATGTAGATGAACTACAACTTCAAATGTCAAGGTCAATGCCCACCAAACCCTTCCAATATTTTCTGTTGGTCATGGGAGTTCTGTATGCCAAGTTTGGTTCGATTTCATCATTGGTGGAGTTCAGAATGCTTTTTGATTGTAGGTGTACTATAAATCCCATTAACTACAACTCCCACATGACAAAATCAATCCCCCCCTAACCCCACCAGTATTCAAATTTGGGCGTATGGGATATTTGTGCCAAATATGGTCCAGTGAGTGAAAATATATCCTATCAGATATTTACATTATTGTTCATAACAGTAGAAAAGATTAGGGAGTAGCAATTAAAATAATTGTATGGTTGGGGGTCACCACAACATGAGGAACTGTGTTAAGGGGCCGCAGCATTAGGAAGGTTGAGAACCACTGTTGTACAATGTTCCTGTTCTCAAAAGGGGAGCGGAGATGTAACTACACCATTGGCATCATTGGCTGAAATGTGACTCTTGCACAACAGTTCCATGTGCTAAAGGTCCCATTGTGCTATGTATCCCATACCTTAATTAGGACAATGCCTGCTATAGGGGATCATTATAGCCTAATGGGACACTGAGCATCGTGGCCAATGTCCATCGTTGTAGCTCAGTAGGAGGACTAAATATCATGAAACATAACTATATAATCACAGAATGATGCAGTCTCCCTCCTTCACATTCTTCTGAATATTGCTAGATATTGCAGGTGTAAAGGTGAGATAACAGCGCTCCATGCAGTCATGCCGGCCACATGACCTTGGAGGTGTCTATGGACAACGCTGGCTCTTCGGCTTAGAAATGGAGATGAGTCAGTCAGACATGACTGGACTTAATGTCAGGGGACTACCTTTACCTTTAAAGGTGAGATGTTCAGGCCGCAGGTAACTAACAAAACAAAGGTATGCATCCACTTATCACAAAGCAAACAGAGTTGAGAACATCTTGTCAAAACATGTATAAGCCCTGCCCAGTGTTGTCCATTCTGTCTCTGGGAAATGTTGCGAAGTGCTAATACAGATCCAAGGACACACCTGTTTCAGGTGGTTTGGTAGCTCATCTTCTGGCTCGCATTCATTGGGAGGGCAGTTCCACTCAGCTCTCACCTGCCACCAAAACTGATTGAATGTATGAAAAGGTAAACAAACGCATTGCCGTGTCAAGGCTAGATGTGCATAGAAGACGTGTGTTAAGAAATTAGAAGCAACCCAGAGTCCAAAGAGACATCAATCCATAGAATCTGCATGGTATTGATCCTTGCAAAGGCCATCAGAGAAACCTCTTCTGTATTGAGAATCCAATAGCAAGGGACAACGTCAGGAGAACCCAGCTGAGAGATGCATTGGACGCCAAAGCTAAATGGGAAGAGGAAAGGGGAATCAAGTCAAGAACCTACAACAAGTTCGGACATTGGACTCATTAGTCACGATTAGATATGAACAGTTCCAGTGCTGGGATGGGACCTTTTGGGTTCAAACTTTGGCTGTTTTAACTGCGATTAGATACCATTAAATAGGGATCAAGATGAGAAGCTACAAGAATTTTGAATTGGAGCCTGTTCATGAATCCTGTTTGTACACCAGTTTCAAATTCAAAGATCTTGACCATGATCTGACATACAACTAATGGGTTGTCCCCAAATGTGTTATGGAGACCCTTTAGGATCTAGGGTAAGCATGGGCAAACTTGGGCCCTCCAGGTGTTTTGGACTTCAACTCCCACAATTCCTAACAGCCTACTGGCTTTTAGGAATTATGGGAGTCAGGAAGCCAAAACACCTGGAGGGCCCAAGAGTGTCCATGTCTGATCTAGGAGGAAAGGAGCCACTTTGGACCTTGGCCTAAGATGGTCTGTCTGGCTTCAGGAGCAACTGGATCACTCAGCCCCTTCTACACTATCCTTATATCCCAGGATCTGATCCCAGATTATCTGCTTTGAACTGGATTATATGAGTCTGCACTACCATATAATCTAGGATAAGCAGATAATCTGGCATCAGATCCTGGGATATAGGGACAGGGTAGACGGGACCTTAGACACACTCAGAACACAGGACAAGGAGCATTGCGTAAGGAAACATGGATACCTCTTTATGCTTTCAAAAGTATCTACATTGGAGTTATTTATATGAAGGGGATTCTAATATTTGAGAAAAGGGCAGTGAGACAAGACTGAAATGAAAGCACCCATAAACCACAGCTACTTACAATGGGCTGGTTCCACGTTGATGAGGCCGTTGGGCGTTGGGCGCCATGGAGGTCTTGTTCTCAGAGGCACTCTGCTGGTGGCTCTTTGTGTGGTCCTTGCAGCCTTCGCCGTGGTTGGAGAAACCGTGGTGGTGCTCCTTGTCGTGCCGCTTGATGACAGGATGGTAGCATTGGGCACAGGTCCTACAACTACTGGCGGCCTTTGAGAAGAGATCTCCGTTACACTGAACTTGGGAGATGTTACATTGTCAGAGCTAGCAGTAGTTGCATCGACACTCAATGTGTAGTTGAGGTTGTCTGGAGGTGTGGAGGAAATGGTTGTGTTGGTGTCAGTGATGCCTACAAATCCTGGGGGTCTTGGAGAAGAAGGAATGGTCATGTTTCGCATGGCAGATGTTACATTGTCAGCATCAGTGGGGGTTATGTCAGCACCAGATGTGTGATTTAAATAGACTGAAGGTGTGGGCATAACAGTTGCGTTGGTGTCAGTGGTCACATTGGAGTCTCCAACAACGGGAGGAAAACTCGTTCGGTCGATCACGTCAGTAATGTTGGCAAAGCCTGTGTTTTCAACTGTTGTAGGGAACGGGACAGGGATTCCTACCATGGTGTCATTTGAGCTCATTGTGGCATTCGCCTCAACCGTGAAGGACGGAAGGGCTGTGCCATTGGCCACGGAGGTGTTGAAACCTGTTCCGCTTTCTTCCAGTGTTGTCACTTCAATATCTATGCCCGTAACAGGGCTTGGCGTTTCTCCAATGGTGTCACTCAAAGCCTCAGTGGCACTGAAGGATGTTGCTGGGATTTCAGTTGGAAACTCATCAGTGGCATTCATTGTAATGGCAAGATCAGTGGTGCTGTTGGTATCTGCTTCTGGCTGCTCCATCACAGTTGTGTCTGTAACATCACCTAAATCAGTGATGGTCTCATTGGACATAAGTGGGACATCTGAGGAAGTCACTGAGATATCAGTTGGTAAATCAACCTTAGGGACAGCATCGATGGCAGGAACTGTAGGAGCAACAGAGGGAGATGCTGCTGCAGTGGTGATCTCAAAGAGAGGAGTACCATCAGTAGGGACCACTGGTATCAACTCTGTTACATTATTGCTGAAGGTATCAGAAACAGTGCCATCAAACGGTGATGCAGCGGAGGTGTTAACTCTGTCACTGCCAGATCTTGTAGGTGATGGAGAGGGCATCCCTCCAGTCAGACCAATCCTGAGAGTGTCCAGGTCAGACTGATACTGCCTCCGGATCCAACCAGCCACCGAAGGATTGCTCTCGGCTCCTTTCAGATCCGGCAAATTCACCCCAAGCAAACCTTGCACATCCTGGACACTCAGTGCCTGCAACACATTTGGAACACTTTTGGCTCAGTCAGGATCCCTGGATGTGAATCAAGATTTCTCCCTGCTCCCAAAAGACAACATTTGGCAACACCCAAGTCTTAACTCAGTCCAGAAACCAATTTAGAAACATTATCTTTGATGTGCTGTATAGGAGGCATGTGCAAACTTTGCCCCTTTGGGTGTTTTGGACTTCAACTCTCACAATTCCTAACAGCCAGTAGACTGTTAGGAATTGTGGGAGTCGAAGTCCAAAACACCCGGAGGGCCAAAGTTTGCACATGCCTGCTGTATAGGTACCCACTACTTTTTGGCAACTTGTTTTCGAAATTTGCTGCTTCAGTATAGCCATTTGCTGCACTTTCAACCCTCGGTCCACACTTTCTTTGGGCCTCACCTACGTTGCCCTATGATACAGTTCCAGAAGGCAGTTTAACTGCACTGAACTGCATTATATGGCAGTGTGGACCCATATAATTAATTTCAATGCAGTTAAACCACATTATATAGCTTATAGATGGGGCCTCAGAGTTGGCACCATCTAGTGTTCAATCTTGTGTGTGAAAGCTAAAAAAAAAACATTGGGTTTGCTTTTCAAACTGCAAAGAGAAGCAAGTAATAACGTAGTTGTTGTTGTTACTGTTATTATTTTCAACCACTTCCAATTTCTGTCAAATAAGCAGTAAAACATTGTGTCAGTTTTGTAACGCTTATTTGCATTATAGTTATGTTTACTTCATAACATTCTGTATTTCACTCCTATCGCTTCCTCTCTGAATGTAGTCTATTGACAATTCCTTGTCAGCAACCCATATTTTTGCTATCTTTCCCAAAATATGGAAATGACTATGGAAATAGTTGGGAACTACAGTGGATACACACAAAAAACATGTTGCTTCCATGTCAGTGTGACGTTGAATCCATTCCAGGTTTTAATCCGAACTGGACTAGAAGTATCTAAGGAATTTGGAGGATAAAGCTTAGAACCTCTGCTATTTTCTTCCAAATTATCATTAAAACCCAAATTAATTACCCCAGGTGATATTGTCCACGTATTTACAGGTTTTAGATGGACTATTTTTATGTCATGAACCAACCAAAGAAACAAACCTGAATCTCTTCTGGATTTAAATTGAGAAACGTAGTGATATCCATATCAACCTGAGACCTGGCCAAGTTTTTCAGGTCTTCGGCAGATGCTCCTCCTTAAAAAAGGGAAAAAGAGAGATGTCAAAAACTATGAAGGTGATAAATATCATCTAAAAATAGCTTTGAAACCCAGGATGCAAACCAATGGATTCAAATGACTAGAAAAGATATGTAAACATGGCTCTTGTGTTTCCTTCTTTCAGCCTTCTTTTCTCCCTAAAGCCACTCCTCATAGGGATTCATTGGAGCTCGATGACTTTGCCATTGCTCACATTATTGATCTATATTCTCAGAGATCAACAATATATTTAATGATGTTAATGCAATAGTTGCTGTTATTACCTTTGATAGAAGGAAGAAATCATATCTTTAAATGGCTCACCTAAATATGGCTGGATTAAGGAATAGTAAGGACTGGTCCCATTTTCAGGAGCAAATGCAGTTGAAGCTTTTCCATATAGGAGGTCCTTCTTGCTTTGGGAACAGGTGGAAATGTCTAATTTCTCAGCATTCCTAAGAGAAATGAAATGCAAGAGTTGAAACTTTCTGTCTGAGTCATGTTCATATGCTCCGGAAAGCAACAATATCACATGACGTTGGGCAATATCCACCTTACCGAATGGCTTCAGGGTTAATTTGTTGTAGTTCATCTTCACCCAAATAGCAGAGATAAACACCTCCCAACAGGTCAAGAATGGGACTGGTGAGTGTGCCTCCTGACTCCAAGTATCTTGCAACCAGTTCCCTGAGCTGCAAGGAAAAGAGTATTTATTTATCCTGTCAGAAGTAAATTGAGGGTACAGTTATAATGTATTGAAGAACACAAACAAAGTTAAAATTTGGCATTGTACTAGATTTCCTTTGATCAGAAGCCGAACACTTGGAGTGCCTCTGATGTCATTGTGAGAAGATCCTCCATTGTGCATGTGACAGGGCTCAGGTCGCATTGTAGTAAATGGTCTGTGGTTTGCTCTTCTCCAGACTCACATGTTGTAGACTCCACTTTGTAGCACCATTTCTTAAGGTTAGCTCTGCATCTTGTGGTGCAGAACTTGAGAAGGAAAAGAGTCTGTTCAGCGCCTTCCAAGTCACCCAGTCTTCTGTATGGCCAGAAGGAAGTTTCTCATCTGGTATCAATCACTGATTGAGGTTCCAGGTTTTTAGCCTGCCACTTTTGGACACTCACTTGCTGAGGTGTTCCTGTGTGAATCTCTGTAGATCTTAGAAAGCTATTTCTCGATTTAAGGCATTGGCATGTTGGCTGATATCCAAACAGAGGATGGGCCAGAGATGTCAATGCCTTGGTCCTTTCATTACTGGCTGCTACTTCCCGACAGATGTCAGGTGGTGCAATATTGGCTAAACAGTATAATATCTCCAGTGGTGTTGGGTGTAGACATCCTGTGATAATGCAACATGTCTCATTAAGAGCCACATCTACTGTTTTAATTTGGTAAGATGTATTCCAACACTGGGCATGTGTATTCAGCAGCAGAGTAGAAAAGTGCAAGGGCAGATGTCTTCACTGTATCTGGTTGTGATCACCAGTTTGTGCCAGTCAGCTTTTGTATGATATTATTTCTAGCACCCACTTTTTGCCTGATAGTCAAGCAGTGCTTCTTGTAAGTCAGAGCACGGTGCAGGGAAACTCCCAGGTATTTTGGTGTGCTGCAATGCTCCAGAGGGATTCCTTCCCAGGTAATCCTCAGAGCTTGAGAAGGAAAAGAGTGGAAAAGCACCGGACCGTTTTGATGTTAGGTCAAACAATCAGCTTCTTTGCACCAGAATGTTTGCAAAGAGCAACATTGATCTTGCAATTACAACAGTGTTCTTGCAAAGTGCAACATTGTTCTTGCAATAAGTAACATTCTTGTAATGAGCAACGTTCTTGCAACAAGCAACATCATTCTTGCAACAACCAATATTCTTCCAATGAGCAGCATTATTCTTTTAAAGAGCAACACCATTCTTGCAATGAGAAACATTGTTCTTTTAATGAGCAACAACATTGTTCTTGCAATGAGAAATGTCATTCTTGCAACATGCAACATAGTTTCTGCAATGAACCACACTGTAAGAATGATGTGCATTGCAAGAACACTGCGCAACCTCATCCTTGCAATGAACATCATTCTAGAGGGAGTCCTTTACCGGCGCTGCGTCCCAAGCCCCGTTGTCCGGGTTCAGGAGAGCCGCAAGAGTGTCGCTGGACGTCACATTCCATCTTCTGATCTCCTCTGCATTATACTGATGCGCAAGGAAGCCGAGCAGCCTCAGCTGATCCTCTGGAACACCATTGGGGTAGATCTAAGAAAGTAGTACAAAGAAATATAAGTAAATGTACAACAGAATCAAATGGATAAACACCTTAGAAACTCCCTTTTTTGGAAGTTTTCAAACAAAGGTTGGATAGCCATCTGTCTGGGGTGCTTTGATGGTGTATACTTGCACCAAAGAAGGGGTAGGACTGGATGGCCTTGGGATCTCTTCCAACTCTATGATTCTCTATCAAGCCCCTCTTTTGGAATCATAGCACATTGATTCCAGCTTGGCTCCTTCCTGTAAAATCCTGTGATTTGAAGTTTAGGCAACCCTTGTCCAGGGAGCTCTAGGGTCGCACCAAACTACAAATCCCAGGGCTCAATAGGATGCTTTGTGGGTCCACTCAGTTACCTCATCCAGCTTCCTTTTCGTCACGGTCAAGTAGTCATTGGGCAGCGGCTGCTCCAGCAAAGTGGCCAAGCTGCCTCTCAGGACCTCATTGTCAAGACAGGCATCAAACTGCCCAGCCGAATCATAGAGGATGATGAAGAGTGGGTCTTCCAAGGTGCTGGCCGTGATGGGACCCGATTGGCATTCTGGGGGCAGAAACCAGAGTTAAGGAGTCACCCATCAACGGGCCATTTATGAGAAACCACCAGTGCAAATCACACAACAATGCATTGTCCGACTCTTCAAAAACCTTTTCCAGCCATCACTGT